CTGTCAAGGTCATTTTGAAGTGTGATCCTGTCCTCTGGGGTGTTAGCCACCCCTCCCAGTTTGGTGTCATCTGCAAATTTGATCAGGATGCCCTTGAGTCCATCATCCAAGTCGTTGATAAAGATGTTGAATAAGACCGGGCCCAAGACAGAACCCTGTGGCACCCCACTAGTCACTCTTCTCCAGGATGAAGAGGAACCATTGATGAGCACCCTTTGGGTTCGGTCAGTCAGCCAGTTACAAATCCACTGAGTGTTAGCATAGTCAAGACCGCATTTTACCAGCTTCTTTACAAGAATATCATGGGGCACCTTGTCAAATGCCTTGCTGAAATCAAGGTAGGCTACATCCACTACGTTCCCTTCATCTACCAGGCTTGTAATTCTGTCAAAAAACGAGATCAGGTTAGTCTGACATGACTTATTTTTCAGAAATCCATGCTGACTATTGGTGATCACAGCATTCCTTTCTAGGTGCTCACAGACTGTTTGCTTAATGATCTGCTCCAGAATCTTCCCTGGTATTGATGTCAGACTGACTGGGCGGTAATTATTTGGGTCCTCTCTTTTCCCTTTTGAAAATAGGGACAACATTTGCCCTCCTCCAGTCTGCCGGGACTTTGCCTGTTCTCCAGGAATTCTCAAAGATGACTGCCAGTGGTTCTGAGATCACATCTGCCAGTTCTTTTAATACTCTTGGATGCAGTTCATCTGGCCCTGGAGACTTGAATACATTTAAACTAGCCAAGTATTCTTGTACTATCTCCTTAGTTATTCTGGGCTGTGTTTCCTTTGCTGAATCATTTGCTCCAAATTCTTCAGGTCGGGCATTGTTTTCATTTATCGGAGAAGACTGAGGCAAAGAAGGCATTGAGGAGTTCAGCCCTTTCTGTGTCCCCTGGTTGCATTTCACCATCTTCTCCTCTGAGTGACCCCACTGTTTCTTTGTTCTTCCTTTTGCTACGAACATACCCATAAAAGCCTTTTTTGTTGCTTTTCACCTCTCTAGCAAGCCTGAGTTCATTCTGTGCTTTAGCTTTTCTGACTTTGTGTCTACACGTGCTGGCTATTTGTTTGAATTCCTCTTTGGTGGTTTCCCCCCTTTCCATTTTTGTACACATCCTTTTTTGATCTTAACTCAGTTAAAAGTTCTTTAGATAGCCACCCTGGCTTCTTTAGGCACCTTCCATGTTTCCGTCTCATTGGTATTGCCTGATGTTGTGCTTTTACTATCTCCCTCTTAATGTTAGAGAACTAAGCATTGGTCAATGGTCGAGCGTCCTTCTATGAATCCTGCTTGTTCATCTGCAAGTATGTTTTCTTGTAGCCAGTCTTGAAATTTCTGTTGCAGGTGTCTTGCATACAGTTTACGAATTATGTTGATGAGACTGATTGGTCTGTAGTTGGCGGGATCATCTTTCTTTCCTTTTTTATATATTGAGACAATGATTGAAAGTCCCCAGTCCTCAGGAATATGTCTATAGATGTCTATGCCGGTGAAAAGTGATGTGAGGGTAGGGGCCCAAAAGTCCAAATTGTTTTTTATGGCCTCTGCGGGTATTAAGTCATCACCTGGGTCTTATTGGGATGCTCTCTTGATGTTGGAGTTCCGTAAATACATTGACACATATTCAGAAAGATATGTCCATGTAAAATCAGCAGAGATCAGCAGAAGCAGAGTTGTGGTGGAATTGTAGCATTAAGCATTTTATTTACAGCAAAGAAAGAAAACAACTGTTGTGTGAGCTGCTTTCTCACACATCCTCTCTGTTGGAGAGAATGAACAAAGAGCAGAAGTTTATCAGCCTGACTTCCGTTCAAACAGACATTCATAACAAATGAAATCATCTGGTCATGTGACCTCTGTGATAGTAGCAGTGAAAAATACTGACATCCTCCCCTTTTTTCATAGCAACTATCGCATTGGCAGTTAGCCCATCTGCAACATATGTACAAACACATCTAGTTGTTCCTTGTTAAGAACCTTCGACAAAAGATCAGCAGGAAATTTTTTTCCTGTCCTATAGGATACATTTATCAATCTTCTCTTGATATAGTCTCTTGCATGAAATAACTTGATTTGCAAGTATTTGGTTCTTTGCTTAAAACCATCAAAATTTCATAGAATCATAGAATCATAGAGTTGGAAGAGACCACAAGGGCCATCGAGTCCAACCCCCTGCCAAGCAGGAAACACCATCAGAGCACTCCTGACATATGGTTGTCAAGCCTCTGCTTAAAGACCTCCAAAGAAGGAGACTCCACCACACTCCTTGGCAGCAAATTCCACTGTCGAACAGCTCTTACTGTCAGGAAGTTCTTCCTAATGTTTAGGTGGAATCTTCTTTCTTGTAGTTTGGATCCATTGCTCCGTGTCCCCTTCTCTGGAGCAGCAGAAAACAACCTTTCTCCCTCCTCTATGTGACATCCTTTTATATATTTGAACATGGCTATCATATCACCCCTTAACCTCCTCTTCTCCAGGCTAAACATGCCCAGCTCCCTTAGCCGTTCCTCATAAGGCATCATTTCCAGGCCTTTGGCCATTTTGGTTGCCCTCCTCTGGACACGTTCCAGTTTGTCAGTGTCCTTCTTGAACTGTGGTGCCCAGAACTGGACACAGTACTCCAGGTGAGGTCTGACCAGAGCAGAATACAGTGGCACTATTACTTCCCTTGATCTAGATGCTATACTCCTATTGATGCAGCCCAGAATTGCATTGGCTTTTTTTAGCTGCCACGTCACACTGTTGGCTCATGTCAAGTTTGTGGTCAACCAAGACTCCTAGATCCTTTTCACATGTACTGCTCTCAAGCCAGGTGTCACCAATCTTGTATTTGTGCCTCTCATTTTTTTTGCCCAAGTGCAATACGTTACATTTCTCCCTGTTCAAATTCATCTTGTTTGCCTTCCTGGAGGCGGCGCGAAACGGCAATGGCGGTCCTCTTCGGTCTCTGAAGAGGGGCTCCGCAGAAAAGGGTCGTCCGCTGCGGCACAGCGGTGACCCATTAAGAAAAACCACGGGCAGAGTGAGCCCGTGGCCGTGGGACTCGGCGGGCACCAGGAGCGACCCCAAAAACGAAGAAGGAACCCCGTAAGGGGCTCCGGAAACGTGGAAGGGGGAGCGGTGCTGTGAGTTCATCGCTCTTTCTGCGGGAGCGAAGCCGCGCGGCTGCTGCTGATGAGCGCCGACCTTTCTTCTTGGAACATCAGGCTGTAAACTACCTACTCGTGAGTAAGGATCAATCATTTTGGAACTAAAAGTGTTAAATTTGGCTGAAAGCGGGAGACGATAAACAGGAAGTCCGTCTTCCGGCAGTGCTTTAAAGATCAAAGGCAAAGATTTTAACAAGCGGGAAGCAGCTTTAAAAGATTATAAATTTGGGACTATCGTGTTGATAGAATTGGCTTTTAAAAAGAAGGAGAAAAGATTTTTATTTCTAAGTGTTTTGGACTTTAAATGGGACTTTCCTCCCCTTTATGGATTATAAAGAATTAAGAACCAAACCTCGGACTGACAGGAAAAAAAGAGAGCTGTCATTGCGGAAACTGTATCCAAAATAGAGACTGTTACAGTTGAGTGATACTGGTAAGATACAATTAAATAAACTGTTACTGGCACCTTTTATCTGAGACTTTGTGGCAGCTTGGGAAGTGCTCTGTAAGCTAAAAAAGTTTATGAAGGACTTTTGGTAAATTAGACTGTTTTGGGGCTGCAGGGACTTTAATGGCGGATAAAGTTCTTTCCTTTCTATGAACTACAGTAATACTCCCCCTAGTGGAGTTCTGGAATTACAAGTGCCTGGGAACAAATTTTATTTGGACTATCTGCTGCTCTGTTATTTACACTTTGGAACTGTCCTTCCCATGGGACAATATACAGCTTGACCTTGACTCATAGACAGGTGTGGAATGAGTGGCCAACCGAAAACAAGATCTGCTAAAACGAAAGCAAGACAAGCCCAACTTGTGCAAACAACTTTGACTACTCAGTCACGTAGATCATCTGTCCCAGCTGTTTTGGGAGTACAAGAAAAGGAAATTGCACAGCCTGCATCAGAGGATATGGCAGAGGGAGGATCAGATACCTTCTTAAAACAAATGCTAGAACAATTTGCAATATTGAACAAGAAGGTGGATGACCAATCGGCAAAAATAGATCAAGCCACATCCTCTATTACTAAATTGTCTGACCAAGTTGCACAACATACACAAGTTATTGGGAATCTCAAGGAAGCAACTGTGGAAAATCGGAGACTGGCTGAAGCAGCCAATGAAAAAGCAGAACAAGCAAATCAAAAAGTTGAGGCTATAAAAGGGGAGGTAAGGCCACTACACAAGCACATTAGTGATCAGCAGGCTTACCTGTCTATGGTGGAATTGAGAAACCGGGAAAACAATCTGAGATTAAGAGCTATCCCAGAGCTTGAACAGGAAGATTTAATTGGTTATCTGACAGCAGAATTTTCCAAGTTCTGGGGTATAGAAGAGGACAAAGATTTCAAGATCACAACTGCGTTCAGATTAGGAAGAGTCGTGAGGAGGGACAAGCCCAGAGACTGTTTGATTATTTTGAGATCCAAGCAGGAGAGAGATAAAATACTAGGCCTCCACTTTAAGAAATCACTTGATATCCAAGGCAAAAGAGCAGAATTTTATAGAGATATTCCTAAACAACTTTTGGATCTCAGAGCCACATATACAGACCTAGCAAGACTACTGAGAGGAAACGCGATTCCATATAGGTGGGAGTTTCCCCAAGGTTTATCTTTTAATTTTAAAGGAAAGAAAATTAAGATTAAAACATCAGAAGATAACCAGAAGTTCCTGCACGACCACGGAGAAGACCTTCAGAAGGGAGCAGCAGCCTCTTGGCCACCGCCACTGCCTGGAAAAGCACCGATACCTACACCCTCGGGGCCAGAAGAAAAGGAAGACACCCCACTATAGGAACAACAGATTGATTCAGAATGTCTCTGCAGCTGTACAGTTGGAATATAAATGGCGGGACCTCCCCGGAAAAAGACGAAGGATTTTTCATATTTTGAAAAAGAACAATTGGATATTGTTTGCTTGCAGGAAACGCATGTGACTAGGCTCCATAGGAAAGTGTTAATCAACAAAAGACTAGGCCAAGAATTTATTTCATCAGACAAAGTGAAGAAAAGAGGCGTAGTGATTTATGCAAAGGAGAACCTGTCACCGAAATTTCTGTTTAAAGATGAGCAAGGAAGAATTTTGGCAATTGAGATACAAACACAAGGAGAAAAGTTTTTGATTTTAGGAATATATGCACCAAATGAGGGGAAATCGGAATTTTACAAGAAGCTGCATGAGATAATGCTGGACTATCTGGACTATACCAACATCATAATGATGGGCGATATGAATGGGGTGGTTTCTACTCACATGGATAAGTCACAAAATCAAAATTTAACTAAAGACGGCAGACTACCTAAAACCTTCTTTGAACTAACTGATAACATGGACTTGATTGATATTTGGAGGACAAGGAACCCCTTAGGTAAAGAAGGAACATTCTTTTCTGAGGCCCACCTATCATGGACAAGAATCGACCAAATATGGACAACTAGAGGACTGGCACCTAAGATCAGAAAAGTGGAAATCTGTCCAAAGACTTGCTCCGACCATAATGCTTTGAAAGTGGAATTGAGACTTACTCCAACCGGTTCTTTCAGATGGAAAATGAATGACACCCTACTAAGAGATCAGGAGATTGTGAAGAAGGCCCAAAAACTTTAAAGGACTATTTTGAAATCAATTTGAACACTTCGGTGGAAAAGAGAACAATCTGGGACGCAAGTAAAGCTGTAATGAGGGGGTTTCTGATACAACAGAACACAATCAAGAAAAACTTTGGAATGGGAAAAAGATAGGATATTAGAGAAGATAAGAGAAGGAGAGAAAAATTGAGATTAAAACCAAAATCAAAAGAGGTTTTAAGAGAAATCAAATTCCACCAAGCTCAATATGCGAAATTGATAAATCAAGAAGTGGAATGGAAAATCAAACAAATGAAACAAAGATCATTTGAATCGGCAAATAAATGTGGAAAACTGCTAGCATGGCAGTTGAAAAAGAGACAAAAATTGAACTTTGTCACTAATCTAGAGGTGGAAGGGAGAAACATTCAGAAACCAGAAGAAATTAGAAAGTGTTTCCAGAAATATTTCAAAAACTTTATACACAAGGGCCTCAGGAAGTGTCTGAGATAGATCAATTTTTAAAAGTTAACGGTCTATCCAAACTATCTCAGGAGAAGAGGACAATCTTAAATAATAGAATAACACGACAGGAAATAGAGGGTGCCATTCAGAATATGCAACTAGGCAAATCTCCAGGCCCAGATGGACTTACCTCCAAGTACTATAAGACACTAAAAGACTATTTGATACAACCACTAATGGAGGTCTGTAACCAGATTATGGAGGGGAGGAGGGCACCGGAAACGTGGAAAGAAGCTTTCATCACATTGATTCCTAAATTGGAATCTGAAAAGACTCAGCTTAAGAACTACCGTCCCATCTCACTCCTAAATGTGGATTACAAAATTTTTGCTGATATTTTGGCGAGCAGACTTAAAAAATACTTAACGAAGTAATTCATAAGGACCAGGCAGGCTTTCTCCCAGGGAGACATCTTTTTGATAATACCAGGAACATTATTGATATTTTGGAACTTTTACAAACTAATATCAATACGAAAGCTGTGTTAATTTTCATCGATGCGGAGAAGGCCTTTGATAATATTTCTTGGATATTTATGAAGAGAAACCTGGAAGGGATGGGAGTGGGACGGGGGTTTGAAAATGGAATAGAAGCAATTTATTCTGAGCAAAAGCTAAACTGATAGTGAACAATGTGGTGACAGATGAGTTCAAAATTGAAAAAGGGACACGACAAGGGTGCCCCTATCCCCTCTTTTATTTATTTCAGTCCTGGAGGTGTTACTGAACATGATTAGGAAGGACCGGTTGATACAAGGAATACAGGTCGGAGCGAAACAATATAAATTGAAAGCTTTTGCAGATGATTTGGTTTTAACATTACAGGAGCCAGAATCTAGTACAAAAAGAGTATTAGAATTGATTCATGAGTTTGGTCGGGTGGCGGGATTTAAGTTGAATAAGCAAAAACTAAGGTTTTGGGGAAAAACTTGACACCCTCAGAAATAGATGGGTTTCAGAAGGAAACAGAACTAAGTGTGGTAAAAAAAGTAAAATACCTAGGGGTTCACTTGTCAGCGAAAAATTTGAATCTATTTAAAGACAACTATGAAAAATGTTGGCTGGAAATCAAAAAAGATTTGGAAATCTGGTCAAGATTGAAACTTTCCTTGTTGGGTCGAATTGCAGCTATAAAAATGAATGTATTGCCGAAAATGTTATTTTTGTTTCAAACCCTACAGATTGTGGACAGAGTGGAATGTTTTGGAAAGTGGCAGAAGGATATATCCAAGTTTGTTTGGCAGGGCAAAAAGCCCCGGATAAAGTTTAAAATACTAACTGATTTGAAAGAAAGAGGGGGGTTTGCCCTGCCGGACTTGAGATTATATTATGAAGCTGCGGCCTTCTGCTGGATGAAAGATTGGTTACTTCTTGAGAACACTGATGTTCTAGATCTGGAAGGGTTTGATAATGCTTTTGGTTGGCATGCATATTTGTGGTACGACAAGGTAAAGGTTCATAAAATGTTCAAAAATCATATTGTTAGAAAATCAATATTTATGGTCTGGACAAAATACAAGGACTTATTAGAGGGTAAGACTCCGAGGTGGCTTTCACCAGCAGAGGCCAAGGCCCGGAAAAACCTAATATGGAGGTTGGTTGGCTGAAATATGGGGAAATTATAGAAAAAGTAGGAGAAACTTGGAGGCTGCAGAGTTATGAAAAATTAAAGAATAAGGTGCAAAATTGGCTTCACTATGCTCAAATTCAAGAGGTTTTTAAGTTGGACAAAAGAACAGGTTTCCAGGTGGAAAAATCGAAACTAGAGACAGAATTGTTGGAACCAAAGACCAAGGTACTTTCGAGAATGTATATCTTGCTGCTTAAATGGAACACTCAGGATGAGACAGTCAAATCAGCCATGATAAAATGGGCTCAGGACATTGGGTACAACATTATGTTTGAAGACTGGGAAAGGTTATGGACCACTGGTATGAAATTCACGGCATGTAATGCCTTGAAAGAGAATATTATGAAAATGATATACAGGTGGTACATGACCCCAGTCAAGCTTGCTAAGATATATCATTTGTCTGATAATAAATGTTGGAAATGTAAGGAGGCTGAAGGGACATTCTTTCACCTCTGGTGGACTTGCCCAAAAGTGAAGGCCTTCTGGGAAATGATCTATAATGAGTTAAAAAAGTGTTTAAGTACACTTTTCCCAAGAAACCAGAGGCCTTCCTACTGGGCATTGTCGGTCAGAAGGTGTTAAAGAAGGATAGAACCTTTTTATGTATGCAACTACAGCAGCAAGAATTCTTATCGCAAAATACTGGAAGACTCAAGATTTACCCACACTGGAAGAGTGGCAGACGCAATTGATGGGCTACATGGAATTGGCCGAGATGACTGCCAGGATCCGAGATTTGGAGGAAGAAGCAATGGAGGAGGATTGGAAAAAATTTAAAGATTATTTACAAAAATTTTATAAGTTATATGAATGTTAAGAATTCGCATGATTAGGGAAATTCAGCTCCAGCAATAAGATTAAGGTATGGGAAACTAAGCTATATTAATGAAAGGACTAACGTTTAAAAGAACATTATATATATTATTAGTGTAAATTGACAATAAGCATTTTAAACGTAAATCACAAGTATTTGAAAGAACAAAAGAATGCACGAAATAAGGTTATAATTTGCTGAAAAATTTTATTGTAAAGAACGCAAGGTGAGGGGGACGGGGGGAAGTCCGGTTGGTTATGGAAAAATGCTTTGAAAAGATGATTTTCTTCTTTTTCTTTCTCTTTTCTGTTATTTCTTTGTATATCTGACCTTGTATTTCTATCTGGAAAAATGCAATAAAAAATATTATAAAAAAAAAAACAAATTCATCTTGTTTGTTTTGGCCCAGTTCTCTAATCTGTCAAGGTCATTTTGAAGTGTGATCCTGTCCTCTGGGGTGTTAGCCACCCCTCCCACTTTGGTGTCATCTGCAAATTTGATCAGGATGCCCTTGAGTCCATCATCCAAGTCGTTGATAAAGATGTTGAATAAGACCGGGCCCAAGACAGAACCCTGTGGCACCCCACTAGTCACTCTTCTCCAGGATGAAGAGGAACCATTGATGAGCACCCTTTGGGTTCGGTCCAGTCAGCCAGTTACAAATCCACTGAGTGGTAGCATAGTCAAGACCACATTTTACCAGCTTCTTTACAAGAATATCATGGGGCACCTTGTCAAATGCCTTGCTGAAATCAAGGTAGGCTACATCCACTGCGTTCCCTTCATCTACCAGGCTTGTAATTCTGTCAAAAACGAGATCAGGTTAGTCTGACATGACTTATTTTTCAGAAATCCATGCTGACTATTGGTGATCACAGCATTCCTTTCTAGGTGCTCACAGACTGTTTGCTTAATGATCTGCTCCAGAATCTTCCCTGGTATTGATGTCAGACTGACTGGGCGGTAATTATTTGGGTCCTCTCTTTTCCCCTTTTTGAAAATAGGGACAACATTTGCCCTCCTCCAGTCTGCCGGGACTTCGCCTGTTCTCCAGGAATTCTCAAAGATGACTGCCAGTGGTTCTGAGATCACATCTGCCAGTTCTTTTAATACTCTTGGATGCAGTTCATCTGGCCCTGGAGACTTGAATACATCTAGACTAGCCAAGTATTCTTGTACTATCTCCTTAGTTATTCTGGGCTGTGTTTCCTCTGCTGAATCATTTGCTCCAAATTCTTCAGGTCGGGCATTGTTTTCTTTATCGGAGAAGACTGAGGCAAAGAAGGCATTGAGGAGTTCAGCCCTTTCTGTGTCCCCTGGTTGCATTTCACCATCTTCTCCTCTGAGTGACCCCACTGTTTCTTTGTTCTTCCTTTTGCTACGAACATACCCATAAAAGCCTATTTTGTTGCTTTTAACCTCTCTAGCAAGCCTGAGTTCATTCTGTGCTTTAGCTTTTCTGACTTTGTGTCTACACGTGCTGGCTCTTTGTTTGAATTCCTCTATGGTGGTTTCCCCCTTTTCCATTTTTGTACACATCCTTTTTTAATCTTAACTCAGTTAAAAGTTCTTTAGATAGCCACCCTGGCTTCTTTAGGCACCTTCCATGTTTCCGTCTCATTGGTATTGCCTGACGTTGTGCTTTTAGTATCTCCCTCTTAACAAACTCCCAGCCATCATGAACTCCCTTTCCTTTTAGTATTACTGTCCATGGGATCTCACCCAGCACTTCCCTAAGTTTTATGAAGTCGGCTTTCTTAAAGTCAAGAAATTGAGTCCTAGTATGCTTGGCTGCTCCTTTCCGCTGTATAGTAAACTTCAGAAGAGCATGATCACTCGCGCCTAATGATCCTTCCACTTCTACCCCACTAACCAGGTCATCAAGATTGGTTAGAACCAGATCTAAAATGGCTGTTCCTCTTGTTGCTTCTCCCACTTTCTGGACAATGAAGTTGTCTGCAAGGCCAGTGAGGAATCTGTTTGACCTTATGCTCTTGGCTGAGTTTGACATCCAACAAATATCCGGGTAATTAAAGTCCCCCATTTGCATGCTTGGCCATCTGTTCCAGGAAGGTATCATCTATGTCCTCCGTTTGGCTTGGGGATCTATAGTAAACTCCCACAATGAGGTCACTGTTGAAGTCCCCCATTACTACTATCTCCCTTCCTTTTGCATGCTTGGCCATCTGTTCCAGGAAGGCATCATCTATGTCCTCCGTTTGGCTTGGGGATCTATAGTAAACTCCCACAATGAGGTCACTGTTATTCTTCTCTCCCTTAATTTTGACCCAAATGCTCTCACTTTGGCTTTGAGGTTCTAAATCTTGGATCTCTTCACAGGTCTACACATCCCTGACATATAACGCCACTCCTCCTCCTTTCTTGTCTGGTCTGTTTCTCTGAAATAGATTGTATCCCCCCATTATTACATTCCAATCGTGGGACTGGTATCCCACCAGGTTTCAGTGATGCCTATTATGTCATATTTAGTTTGCTGTACCAAGAGCTCAAGTTCATCTTGTTTATTTCCCATGCTTTGTGCATTAGTGTACAGACATTGAAGTCCATTAATCATTCCCCCGTGTCTCTTATTTAAGGATTTTTTCCTCCCACCACTAGGTCTGTTTGCTGTTTGCTCCATTTGGTCTATGACATTTGGATGATCATCTTCATCAATTGATAGACTCCTACCTTCAGGAGCACTGTCTCCCTCCCCCACATTAGTCTGTTTAAAGCCCTCCTGATGAGGTTTCTGAGATTTTTGGCAAAAACATTTCTCCCAACCGTTGTGAGGTGCAGCCCATCGCTTGCCAGAAGTCCATCTTCAAGAAACTGCAGTCCGTGATCTAAGAATCCAAACCGTTCCTGTTTACACCATTTGCAAAGCCAGCTGTTCACGTCCACTATTTTCCCCTCTCTCCCTGGGCCACGTCGTTCAACTGGGAGGACAGATGAGATGACAATTTGTGCATTTAATTGCTTCAATTTCCTGCCCAGAGCCTCGTAGTCTCTTTTGATCTTCTGGAGGCTATTCCTTGCAGTGTCATTGGTTCCCACATGAACCAAGAGGAAGGGGTATTTATCAGTGGGTTTTATGATTCCTTGCAGTCATTCAGTTACATCTTGGATCTTAGCCCCGGGGAGACAGCACACTTCCCGAGACATCTTGTCAGGCCCACAGATCACTGCTTCTGTTCCCCTCAGTAGGGAATCCCCTATCACCACTACACGCCTCCTCTTAGGTTTGGTTGCGGTTCTTCCGTGAGCTGTCCGCTGCAAGGTCGCCTGCACATACCCTGAGGACTGACTTTGCTGCTCGTCTTCATATACCTGATCGATTGTAATGAGGGAGAGATCCTCAAATGGAGTCTGCTCTTCGTCTTCCATGCTAGGGGAGAGGACCTCAAAGCGATTGTGTATTTCTAAACAATCAGAGTGAACCCTGGGCCTCCTACTTCTTTGAGTCAGGTTTCTCCATATATCTGGCTCCTGTGTTGGTGAACTAGCGTCCTTCTCAGGGGAGTCCCCTGTCTCCTCCTTGGTGGAGACGGTGTGCCCTGTTGCTTCCAAGAAGAGCTCCAGCTCTCTAATTCTTTGGAGCGTAGCTACACGTTCCTCCAGTTGCTGGACTTTGTCTTTTAAGAGGGCAATCAACATGCAATTGCTGCAGGTAAAGCTGCCTGCAACCTTTGGTGCTTTTGTAATCAGCTGTGTCTGTATCACTATCAGAACCGGCAGCAGCACCATCATCACCATCATCACCTTCACCATCAGCATCAGATTCATTACCTGTATCATCTGAAGCTGGGTGACACTGAAAAATCCCCATATTGTCCCATTTTGCATTGCATTCAACACTCCTAGTCAGCCTTATAGCATTGGTATCAGACATTAACACATGATATGCACCTTTCTCATAACCTAGAAATGTACCATGTAAACCTCTTTTGCTTAATTTGTTGTCTTGAGGTGTATGAACTCAGACATCTGAACCAAAAATTCTGAGGTGCTTGATAAAAGGCTTTTTTTTCTGGAACAGCTTTTCATAAGGAGTGCAGTAAATAGGCAAGCAAATATCTTTTCAAAATGCATAATAAAAGTGTTTTCCTAGGCCATAAACATTCACTCTCTAGACGTTTTATGCCTGTAAAGAACTGTCATTTCACAATCACCTCATGTGCATTTTCTCTTTTCCCTATTGACATACAATGGTTTGTTTGTTTTTGTCATTGTTAAATATAAAAGAATCCTTTCTCCAGGACTATTTCAACTGAAATCACTGAACTTTTCCCTTTACTTCCTTTTCATGCCTTTCAGGTAGGCATTATAGTCAGAGATGCAGAAATTTCACAATGTTACATGGTTCATTAAATAACTAACACTTTATTTTTTATATATGAAATGCCCAGTTAGTTTTGGACAACTCCATCTCAGGGAACTTTCTGTTCCCTAAGGACTGTTCTGAGTGTTGAGGAATGGAAGACTTTTCTTTTGCCAAGTATCCCAAGCCAGCAGAAAAGGACAGGCATTCACTGCATTTTGAGAATGTCTGAACCGACTCAGTTGTGTTAGGCCCAAAGCAAAGATGAATTAAGAGTGTTTAAGAATCCAAGATTCACACCAGAGAAGCACTTCATTTCATTCAAAGGACAAACTCAGATATTCTCTGACCTTTTGACACTCACATTCATTATACAATTAAAAAGGTCTCAGTTCTCCTCCCTTCTTTGTCAGGAGCTGTAAATGAGTTTTAAAAGCCAGCTTGGGA